GGGCTGCCCACGGCCGTCGTGGCGGCCGCGCTGGCCCTCGACTCGGAGCAGAGCTGCCGGCTCTTCCTGGCCGCGCTGCCCCTCTGCTACCGCGACGCCGCCACCATCGACTGCCGCCAGAGCCTGGCCAACATGGCCGGCCTCTAGGGGCGCCCGGGACGCCCCAAAACGGGCCCTCCCCCCGCCCAAGGGCCGCCTCCGCGGGCCGCGCCGCCGAGGAGCAGGGAAACGGCCCCTTCTGTGGGAAAAACGGCCCCTTCCGGGGGCAAAACGGCCCCTTCCGGGGGCAAAATGGCCCCTTCTGGGGTCTCTCTCTTTTCCAGGCCCGAAGCGACGTGTTGGGGCCCTTGGAGGCCCCCCCCCCCCCAGAAACGCAGCAGTTTTGGGGGGAAAAAGGGGCATTTTGGGGCCTCTTGTTGTGGGAGGAGCCTGTGGAAAAGGGGGCGTTTGGAGGAGACGCCGGTTCGGGGGCTCTGATGGAGGCCGCCATTTTGGGGCCCTTCTGGTTGACGCCCTTTTGGGGCCCGTATGGAGGCCGCCATTTTGGGGCCGTTCTGGAGGCCGCCATTTTGGGCCCCTTCCGGAAAACCGCCATTTTGGGGCCCTTACAGAAGCCGCCATTTGGGAGCCCTTTAAGGAAACGACGTTTTGAGGCTCTCCCAGATGCCACCATTTTAGGGCTGTTCTGGAGGCCGCCATTTTGAGGCCCTTTAAGGAGATGCCGTTTAGGGGCCCTTCCGGAAAACCACCATTTTGAGGCCTTGCTGGAAGCCGCCATTTTGGGGCCCTTTGAGGAGACGCCGCTGTGGGGCCCTTCCGGAAAACCGCCATTTTGGGGCCTTGCTGGATGCCGCCATTTTGAGGCCCTTCCGGATGCCACCATTTTGGGCCCGTTCCGGAAAACCACCATTTTGGAGCCCTTCCGGAATACCACCATTTTGGGGCCCTGCTGGAAGCCGCCATTTTGAGGCTCGTTGAGGAGACGACGTTTTGGGGCCCTTCCAGATGCCGCCATTTTGAGGCACCTTCTGGAAGCCGCCATTTTGGGACCCTTTGAGGAGATGCCATTTTAGGGCCTTCCCGGAAGTCGCCATTTTGAGGCCGTTCCGGACGCCGCCATTTTGGGGCCCCTTTTCCTTGGGCTGCCCCAAGGAATGGCCATTTTGGGGGGGGGGGGGGTGTCCTCCCCCCCCTTCACCGGAATCCGCCTGGTTTTAGAAGCGGGTTAAAAAAAGAAGAAAAAAGGTGGAAAAAGAAAAAAA